TTTCATTCGTTTGTTAAATAAGAGGCGATCTAGTGCTGAAATGTGTTGTCTTCACTCGGACGCGCGCTGCAATCCGTTGTGGAGGTTTCATTCGTTCCGGTGAAATCACAAATCAAAATACACACAAACGTGTCGCTGCTTCTCTGGGTTCTAATCCGCACTCGTACAGTTTTTTTTTTTTAACCCTCATCAAAACCGAGAATGTTTTTCAGTGGTTGTATATCAATACAGTTTTGATGAAGGGTAAAAAAAACTATACAAGTGCGGATTAGAACCCAGAACCTCCGACACGCTTGGCAAAAATACTGCTCTACTGGACCATACACAGTATAGGCGAATCCGTCTATTTATTTATTCACGTTAAAATTCACCATACTAACAACATATATTAGATCTCATATACTGTATGACCAATTAAACCCAAAGTAGCATAACATTTTTGGTCGGACATCACATCTTTGTATAAATTTTTATTTATTTACATCAGTTAGCTACAGGAAATCGTCTTTGAAAACATGACCTTCGCGAAAGAGAAAAAAGAATGAATGTGCGTCATTGTACCCAGAACTTTTGAAAATGCCCTTCTGAATGCATCTCTGTCCCCAGCACATTTCAAACCAAACTGACGCCCATGAACTCACTGACTATATACTGTAGGCAATCAGTTAAACAAGTATGCCAACACAACAATGGCAACTATGAATTCATTATCTTCTTTACGTATATACAGATGAACAGATACACACACATATGCATGCACTCCACATAACATGGCATGCATTCATCCTCAAGCATACAAATAAACATTTAACCTCTTAACAGAGGCTGATGTGTTAAGTGTTCACCTGCGTCTATATGAAAATCCTCTCACAGTGGTGGCAAACACATCTCTTTATCTTGTTCTCAGAGTATAGGAATAATGACATGGTCCTAATTAAATTGCCAGACAATACTGTGTGGATCAAATTATTTCAGCTGGCAGAATAGATTAGCAGCACAGACCTGCAATCTGCTTTTGATCAGGGTCCAACAAAAAACACTTCCACAGTCTTCTGAAAAGCTCAGTTCACTCTATCATCGTCTCTAGCTTTTCATTCCATTACAATCCCTCCATAGAGGTAAACATGTTATTGCAATACTTGAGCATTTCAAATTCTATAACTGTGCAGAAATCTTTGTAAGATGAATCCCAGTCTCATTCTCTTGAAGATGACAGTAAGTAGCAAAAATTGGACAGAGCAAGCAGGAAACACTTTTTCACTGATGTGCTCCAGTTGAAGATATAGCACAAGAAGAGTGTATGCACTGTATATGCACCCTGAGCCTGATTCACAGTTAAAACATCTGTGAAATGACAGATGATTATGCGCAAACACCAGGTAAATTTGTGACAATGATTTTTAATCTGAGACAATACTAAGTACACCACCATGCTCGCATTCATACAACTCTATAATGGTCTGAGAGATATTACACTGAGGTATTTCTTGATTTGTGCCACTTTCCTATTTTTGAGTGAAATGCATTTCCTGTGCTCTGAATCCCTACCCTGAAACTGCAAGTTACATAGACATTACTGCCAGTTCATAAGATTTGCTGTCCAACCAAATGAGGTAAATGATCACATTCAGTACACAAGTTTGCAGTATAATATTATATTGAATACTGATATTATATTGACATTTTGAATCTCATATGGGTTATAAAATAATATTTTATAATAGTTATAATATTCTACAGTTATAAAATATTACAAAATCTGCATGTGTCTTAAAAGCAGATCCCAGCATCTAATAAGCTTCCTTTTGTAGCTCACTATTCATTAGGTATTCATAATCACCCTCTATAAATGATTGAACACAGCTTTAAATAGCATTGCCTTATCATTAAAACAGATAAGCACTTAAAGTCCCTCTTTCCCCCCTCGCTCTCACCCTTTGTATCTTACATATACAAGATGGTCTAATTGATTTTGGATTCTCAGGTCTCCGGAGACCAAGATGAATGAGGCAACTAAATTTAAGAAGTCTAAGTGATTGCACTTAAAAGCAACTTAATGAACTGTGCATGTTGCTGTGTGTGACGTAATGGACTCTAGCTGACATTCATCCAATAAGGAGCTTTGATTAACTTAGCTGATCACACACTGCACATCTCCTGGAGTATGATTAGTAGAGATGCTAAAAATTTACGCAATTTAAAGTGTGAGCAAAATTAGTGCTTTATTTTATCTAAATGGTCATCATTTACTCACCCTCATGTTGTTCCAAACCTGTATGACTTTCTATCGTATGTGGTGCACAAGAGATAAAACACTATTTAAGAGCATTGGTTTTCATTCTATGGAAAATACCAACAGGTATTGTAATAACATGAGGGTGAATAAAGACAGGGGCTTAGAGACTGCTTTCCAAGATGGCTCCTGCCTGTATACACAAAGTGAACTGTCTTTATAAAATATCTTATTAAACGGTCTGTACACTTACAAAGTTCTCAATGCTTCGTTTTGCATGTATGGACCCTCATTATGTTACTGTGTTAGTGTGAGGCTATTTTGACCCTTGTTAGTGGTATTAACTAGCGATTTCTTTTTACTTATTAAATGCGTATACGCTAAACAGTTTTTAGAGATAAAACTCTTTACATTCAATTATCATGAAAACAAATCTCAGAGAACGGTCAACTAGGTACCAATGTGTAATTTGACCAAAGGTTCATTTTGCGCCGGAGTTCTCCTTTAAGCACAAAGATGCATTGAATATTAGCCCGTGTTTTTTCTGATGTTTGATGTCATTATGAAATAATCTCTGTGTTAAAGGGGTCATGAACTATATTATTTTACTATTTTATGTTTCCAGGGGTGCCCTTATAATGTTAGTATGATTTTTACATCAACAAATGCCATAATTTAGAAGTAAAAGGCATTTTTCCAAGCCTGATTTTAGCGCTCTGTTTGAAGGGGCGTGTCTGCTGTGAGACTTCAGTGTTCAATGCCCACTGCTGTGATTGGATGACATGTTTGCAAATGAAAGAGCTAGCATTACATGTGGAAATCCCTTGAATACTTTTATAACATTTTTACTATTACAGCTATCGAGATTAACGAATCGTAAGAAGTTTTTAAAGTATTTAGATCTATTCCATCACATGAAAGGTTGCAGTGATAAGCATTGAGCAGATGACAGACAGTCTGTTGATCACATGAATTAAAAGATCTTATCATTGCAACACAATTTCTGCACTCTCATGAATGCTTTCACCAAATAACAATGCAAACATGACGTAAATACAGTAATTGCTTTATTGTGCAGTGTAACAGCGTCATTATCTTATAATGAGTTTTGGCAAGTGTCCAAATAAACGCGCTGTGTGATTGACAGCTTGGGCGATTGGAAGAAGATTGTTCTTTGATTGCTTTCTGTATATATTTTAATCACAGTTTAAATAAGATTATTTTCATCCTATTAAGAGAAACGAAAGTTGATCTTTTAGTCACTGGCTTGATTTACTGATGCAAAAACAGTATTGAATGATTTTGAGAGAAATATTATCTGTCTGTAATAGATTACACATCCGAAATCACTGATCACAGATGAGGCATTGGAATAAACATGGTTACTTTGCATGTTTGTGGCATTTCTGGCAGTGAAATATACAGAATACTAACAATGCACTGCTGAGTAGGGGTGTCACAATTCTCCAAATCTTCAGTCATGGTACCATTTTTAGACTAGACTTTTATGCAATATAATATCTGACCTTTGTTCGCAATGTACCACACTACATTGTCAAATTTAAAACCTTTAGTGAATTGGAAAAAAAAAACCTGCTATAGTTTCTCTTTTGTAAATTCTTCACAGAAGATGACATTCAAGTTCACAGAACAAACAAACAGTTGGTTTAACAGATAAATTTGTTTTGTGGTGCCTGCGGAGATGCTCTGCCATGTTAGTCGTGCTGCCAGTGGAAGAATATGGCACACGCACATAGCAGAGCTTGCAAACTGTGGCTTTTTTGAAGCGTTAACGTTGAACGTGAACATTATCAACATAACACACCGGAAATCCAAAATACTTCCACATCGGCGACTTCAATGAAAGAGGAGGGGGTTCAAGTTCTGTCGATGGGTCTCCTGCATCTGCAGTTGCCATGCTATTTTTTGACTGGCTGTAGCTAAGTTAGAGGAGGTTGACTCACAGCACTTCAGCACACATTTTTTTTTCTCCGCTTGGCACGCCAACCGGATGTGACATGGGGGCGTGGCAACCTCGACGATTCCATTTTTTATTTTCCGAAGTTCGAGATTGTGATTTAATTTGATCGTGACCCCCTTATTGCTGAAACATTCATATTGTTGAAAAGAAAGAAGAAAAAAAACACTTTCCTAGCCTTAGGATCGTTTGGAAGGTAATGGTATTGATCCCGTGTCGATCTTTTCTCATTCTCATGTCACTATTCACTAATGCTCCAGTGGGCGGGGCCAAAGACGCAATGATGTAGACGAAGTCTTTTGCTGCCCTGTGACGTCATAAGTCTCCACTTTTGAGATCCTGTTGTTTTCTGGCCTTAGTTTCAATAAAAGCAGTTTTTGGAATAACAAGGAAGTTTTGAAATTTACAGGCTATTTTTATAGTATTACAAACTCCTAACTGTCAAAAGATCAAGGAAAAATTCTCAAATCATGACCCCTTTAAGAAGTCTGTTGAGAGAGTTTTCAGACACTAATAGTGTTGTTTTTAAACATACAATTTCATTTTAGAAAAGCACTGTAACATTCTGATTAAACTTCTGCCAACTCATCCTTCTACTAACAGATTTTTCCAGGAAGATTGCTGTGCCAAGTACACATCAACATGTTGCTCTCCTGAGTGACATGAAATGGCCCCTGTTACATTTATAATTTATATTCATGACATTCATTAGCCATTTCAATGCTTTTTGTGAGATACAATTACAATGGCAAAATTGCTTTTGTCCATTTAAGCTACAAATGAGCTTCTTATATTAGATTTGAAAAGTAAAATAAGATGACCTTTCAGACCAAAACACTGTCCTCTGAAAAGCATGTTAAAACGCCATATGTCATTACTGCCAGGAGAAAGGGAAGGAGGGAGAAAAGAACAGAGGAAAAAGAAAAGCTTTCATGCCCCAATACACATCAAATTCACAAATGCTGTAGTACATTACCATTACTATATCAATCAATGCCTTTCTCATTCGTTTCTAGCAAATATTCATAATATTTTCAATTTGTGTAAAGGTTTTTATTTTAATCACACTGACAAAAAAAAATATATGATACTATATTTTTCTATCAAGCAAATCAAAACATATTCCTCTCAGAAATACAAATATGCACAGGCATTGTTGTCATTAATAATAGAGAGAGGTTTGCATGGTGGAGGAGCATGTTCTTTGCCCAAAGGGCCGCTATTTTATTCCCCTAACAACTGGCATCTTTTTCTTCAGTATGACAACGGCTGGGTGACATTAGGGAAACAAAAACAGTTGGCTCACCAAGACAATGAAGCAAAATCGTTACGTCGATCCCACATTTCTTTCCGTAATTAATTTCACAAACAGAGATTAACAAAGCAGCCTAATTAGACCTTTGGAGAGTTGCAGACTAAATGAGACATTGAAAACATCCATGTGGCACAGTAGGACTCTTCCTATGAAGACTTAATAGCATGGGTATTAGTATATTACAGTTACACTAACAATACATTAATGCTTGATTGCATAACATAGGAATCTCTTCCTGTATGAAATCACCAACAGTGACTAAACCCACAAATTTGTTTACTGTTGTCAATGTCATTCATTTTTAATGACAGCTCATTTCAGCTAGAAATGAATGGTGATATAAACTGCTTATGCAATCAGTAATGTAATTAACAACTAAAATAATAAAGATCTAATATGAATGAATGAATGAATAATATTGAACATCCGGTAAACTGCTATTAACATTGGGGAAACTTTAAGTAGGGAAAGATGGGGGAAGCTGCCTTCTTTATTGAACTGTAACGTTGTAATGTTGTTGTTTATTCTAAATATTTTTTCAAAAGGTTCCATTGATGTATAACTCTAAATCAAAAACTGTATGCATTTTGACAATTTATTTGTTTTGGTTATAATTGTGATAATGAATAGATTAGATCATTAGATTAAAACACCAGCAACAACATTGGGAACCACTGGGAACGTTCTGCCCAAATTCTTTAGCATCCTAAGGGTCTTACTTTAACTTATCTAACTTTAACGTTTAACTTAAAAAAACAATAAATTTACAGATCACTATTATGTTACAATAAAAAGTCAAAATTAACAAGAGCATTAATACAGCTGAAATTTGATTTACTTGCACCTGTAGTCAAGAGACCTTCTCGCCTTACATATTGAAATAAAAATGTACCCTATACTGTATATCGCTGTATAAGTGCATGTTGTCATACTCTGTGGTAACATCCTGTTCCTGTTTCCTAGAGCATGAGGCCACGATGAGCTGTGCTCAGGCTGAACCAGAGGATGGCTCTGCTAATGCCAGCATTAATAATAACACCATACTCAATGGCACCACCAATGATGAGTTGGAGTGCAAAATCTGCTACCAGCGCTACAATGCACACAACCGCAAGCCCAAGATTCTGGACTGCTTGCACCGTGTGTGTGCCAGATGCCTCAATAAGATCATTGACATTGGGGATGGTTCAAGCTCCATCAGCTGCCCTTTCTGCCGTCACGAGACGCAGGTCAGTGAGTACGAAGTGGCCGGGCTGCCAGATGACTCGAACATCATGTCCCGTCTGGCCGTGCGTGACAAGTCCTGGAGCTCGGACCACAGTAAGGAGGTAGTGCTGACGCCAAAGAGCTTGTCCTCCAATGATAGCCCATCCCACGATTCCTCTAACTGCCTGGTCATCACCATCATGGAGGTGCAACGGGATCAGCAGCGCTCGCCCAGTCAAAATGGCAGCTCTGATTTCTACGGCGACCACAGTTTGGACTCAGTCTCCGTAGCATCCAACAGCGGTGCGGTGGACCAAGACGCACTATCTAAGTTCTGCAATCATGTGCCGCGTGTATTAGTGTGGCTGTTGGGCTTTTTCTACTTCGGTTCGCTGCCACTTGGCATCTACTTGCTGGTGATCCAGAGAGTGACTCTTGGGATTGTGTGCGTGAGTCTGGTGCCATCCAGTCTCACAGTCTGTCTGGTTTACGGCTTCTGCCAGTGTCTGTGCCAGGGCATGTGCGACTGCTCTAACAGGGGGTGACTGGTACGAAATAGGCCACTCACCCCATTGAGAGGAGATAATAATAAGCTCTAGGCATCTGAATATCCTCATTGCAAATCAAATGCTATATGTACCTTCTTGCTTTGAAAAGATGTGTACAAGCAGCTGTGATAAGAGGATAAGTCAAGCATTAAAGAGGAAGGTCAGTCAGGACGAAACACTATTAGCTTAGCATAGCTTATGCACACACCCTTCAAGCTCATTTTGAAGTAATAAAGCTGACTTAAGAAAGTTCTCCATGCCGATCAGACGATGGTGCATGAGTGGGAGTTTATCAAAGCGGAGAAGATGGACTTTATGTGTACAGCCAGGCAGAGCGGATGGGCCATAAAGAATAAAGTTTTATTGTGGTTGATTCTCATCGCTGTGAAATGAACTGTGTGCCCTGATTATCAATGAAAAGGCTCCATGAGCTGCACTGTTACAGGTTAATACGACTGGAATAGTCTGTCTGGTTAAAGACTTTGGTAACACTGCAATAAGGTTCATTAGTTAACATTAGTTAATGTACTAACTAACATTAACTAACAATGACCAATACATTTGTTGCTGTATTATCTTTGTTAATGTTAGTTAATACAAATACAGCTGTTATCATTTGTTCATGTTAGTTCACAGTGCATTAACTAAAGTTAACAAATACAATGTTTGATTGTTATAAACGTCTAAGTAAATGTTGGAATTAATATTAACTAAGATTAATAAATGCTGTAGAAGTAATCTTCATTAGTTCATGTAAAGTAATGTGGTTAACTAATGTACCTTATTGTAAAGTGTTACCAATACTTCTACTGTAGGTATTACAAAGTGAAAGGGTGGGTAACTACCGAGGGTGACCTTTTAATAAAGATATTTGACCCATGCTGTTGTTCTGTCCATCTGTTAAAAAATACCCTCCAGGACTGCATGGAGTATGCCATGTTTTTACAACAGGACTAGGGCTGCAACAACTAATCGATAAATCGATAATAATCGATAATGAAAAATCAGTGAATGTCATTATTAATTAGTCTAGTCTGCTAACTATGCATGGAAAACTTCAGCCAGTGGAGTCAAATTACAGCACTGAATAACGCATTTCTATGGACAAAATGCATCAAAAAATAGTGGAGGAAAAAGAGTGAGCTGCTGGCGGATAGGTGCGTAATCCAAGCTGCCCAAAACATGATAATTCTTTATTTTAAGCTTCAAGCTAATGCATAAGTGTAATGTTTAGTGCAGCTTGCCTTGTCAGGTGCTTTGACTGTTTAATGAGTGAGATATTTCCTCAGTGCAAAACTTTTATATTATTATTTTATATTAAATTATACAATTAAATGCTTCTGAAAATGTTAAAAATGCATTTAAGTATTTCCACTTAACTGAATGAGCAATGGCGTCCATGTGCGTCAAACACACGGAACACAGTAGAGAGGGAGGCTCAGGAAGAAAAATGCCATTAACGTGAAACTTTGCGTGTAGGCTATATAGTTTTCCTCCCATAGAGCCTATTATAAAGAAATAGCTTAATGTCAATGCAGTACGACGGAGATATTAAAACTCAGTATCCTACACACCTTATTGAACATCCAACGCGCTAAGCGTTAAGCGCTTTATAATGTTTTTTTTTATGGGTGTAGTTCATAAACTGATATAATCTGTTTGCCTCTACAAAGTATGCTTTAATAAGGTAGGCCTATATTGTATGCTAAATTTGGTGCTTCGATATCACCAGAGCCCGTCTAACGGAGAGCCTTGGCACGTCCTATTAGCCCCATTGTGCATCACCTTGGTTGCAGTTCCATTAGAATTCCACTGGAGGTGATCGTGGGCGAGTGCAGAATAAATGGGAGTCTATGGGGCTAAACGGCTAAAAGTGTCTCTTTCACCTGCTTGTCGTTAAATCAAAATAGATTTTATTGTTGATTCCGCAAGTTCAATATAGATTATAGGCCAAAAGTCAGATGAACGAGTGCTTACGTCCTTTTGATTTCTTACAGGTTAGGCTGTTGTTGGCCGGAACACGCTAGCATTCTGCTATTGTGTGACGTAATCACATTTTTGAATGGATTTTTAGAGCAGATAAGTGAACTTAAAAATACAAGTTTCAGCTGAGTGTATTTTCTTAGCCCTCCCTTTTGAATGCAACTTTCAAATTACTTGACAAAAATTACATCCTGAGAAAAGTGCATTTCTGGGGGTGAAACCCCATTGACTCCCATTCATTCTGCACTCGACCGTGAGCGCCCCCGCATGGACAGAGACGTGTTACTGCAGCCAGTCCAGAACCCGGAAGTAACCAGCCAGTGCCAATTCTCTTCAATTAGACATTCTCTGATATCACTCACATTAAGTGTCTTAAATGGGGAAGAACGCTAAATTACGGAGCCGTTGTCCATTTTAGCAGCTACTGCCATCTAGTGGTAGCAGGTTTTCTAGCAGCTAAACCGTCGAAATGAAAGTCTCAAAATCCAAATGAATCAAATAGGATCGACTCAGAAACGAGTTAATGAATGCACGCGTCACCTCATCCACAAATGCACATCTACCTTTTTGCATTTACAAATTCTGAGCTATATAAATAAAAAAATAAAAAAACCTCGAGGTTTTGAATTAACAAATATGTGTCTATACAAAATGCTGCACACATACATGTCATTCTGGATTTTGCACACACAAGTTGTATTGGATTAGTTTAAATGTAAGTGACGCATATTTGTGAATTTTTCAAATAGATGGGTAGTTGCTAGTTGTGCACATTAATAATTAGCACCAGGCCTATTCATTTGTAATTGTTTGTTTGTGGGTTGTGAAACTCTTAAAATAGCGAAAAGAAAGTCTCAAGAATTGACTCCGAAAAGACGTCAATGAATGCACGTGTCAACTGATCCACACATGCACATCTTTGTTGCATGCACAAATTATGATACACCAATACAAAAGAAAACATGTGTATAAAAAAATATTTCTTTACTTGTACAAATTGCTACACATTGGTTCAATTTTGCACATGCAAGTTGAAAGGCATTTGGTTGTGGATAGTAAAACATATCTGCAACATTAATCAAATTCATTGATAATTGTGCTTGCATGTGTTAATCATTTTGATACTATATTCATCCCATAAACATCCCTCTAATCTGTTTTCTTTATTATTATCTTAATTTTTAATGTAGAGATTTAAATTGTCATTTTGCTTTATAACTCATAATATAGAATAGATATATTCACTATACGTGTTTTCATATAAGCATTAAATTAGCAAGTTTGTTTAAAGGACAGCATTGGGGAGGATGTGAAAAAATATGCTTTGACAATGAAATGAAATAAAATTTAAATAAAATTGGGCTTTGACAGGAAGAAGATATAACCCAAAGAAATAACCCAAAGAAAGTTGGAAATCAAAACCAATCATCACCAATCTTACACTACAATATAGTTTTCTCTTTCACTCTCTCACTGACATCAGAATGTGAAAATGCCCTTTGAGGTCATGACACAAATTATATTGTGTTCCACACTTCCTGGTCATGCTGACATGATGCAAACACAACTGGAATTCAAGAACAGAGTCCAAACTGTCTATATAACACACCATGTGCTGTCATGCAGAGTGTACTAGATGAGATATTATATTATATAAAACATTTTATCTGAGCCCAAAGCTTTCTATTTAAAGGTAACATTGATGCTCACAACTACAGCGGCTCTGTAATCCTTCACTCAAGCCCAGTGTTTCTTCTCCCAGCAGGATCTTTACGGGGCCTTCACCTTGAGTTCCAATGAAAGCCATTTATCATTCTGAACTTGAGCTAGAGACAGAGTTTGAATTCTGCCACACACAGCTTACTTGGTCAATACACTACAACAATAGACAGCACCTTGGGTTTGTGTTGAATTATATCCAGAGCTGTTTTCAAGCTCTCTGCTGGCCAAAGAATAATTTCAGAGAACGTGCTTCAATAATTTCAGAGAACATCAATGTGCTACAATGAAAACAATAAGAAAATTAGCATGAACTATGGTTGGTTTAACAACAATTAAATTGAATTCAGCCATGAGAATGTATTTATGAGCAATCGAGAATCAAACCACCTCCTTATCAGCGCACACCACATTCTCTAAATGTAATTCAACAAAAACACCCCACATCATCACAAAATTCCATTTAGGACTGTATTTATACACACAATCAAATATTCAACATCTTTTTTTTTACTGCCATTTCAAACAAATGTGCTGCATGAATTTTAATATCCTGTGAATAATTTATACACAATATTCTCTCCTCTTGTGGGAACTTTCACATCCCTCTTTTTCACAGACTTGTTTTTTCTTCTCTTTCAACCACCTCCTCATCTCTCTCATTAATTCAACCATCCATACAACTATCCATTTCTGGTTCTTTATGAATCCTTCATTGTCTTCTAAAAAATATTTTTTTGGCATCTGCTTAAGTAGCTCTGTTCGTCCCACACTCAACACACACACACACACTCACGCAGCGCTTGAGGTCTTATTCACACTGCTCTTCTCCTACAGTCAATTCTGAATCTGAAATCTTAATTAGTGGCAATGGAGTGAGGGTTGTCGGTGAACAAAAGTGTGTGTGTGTGTGTGTTGCAGCTGTGAAAGGAAGTGTGCTAAGCCCTACTAAGCAGCCTAATTTATATCTAGAGTGGATGTGTCTACAGATCTGGGCTAATGTCCATAAAACTGTCTGACCACACGTCACCATGGGCCTATGAGATTTGAAAAGAGGACCAAACACATTCTCCCTTTGACAATAGAGACAACAAACTTGAGCCACATGTCAGGTTTAATTCATCGATCCCTTTTCACATCACAAGCTCTGCATTTCGCTATATTTTCAAGACAAATCATCCACAGTTTTTGACTGTGCAAGGAACTCCACACAGCTATTTCGCATAATTGGAGCAGTGAAAGAGAATGATACATAGCTGTCAACCCTCCCGTTTTTTTCCGGGTTTCTCACGCATTTTAGCTCTTTTCCCATTGTCTTCCCGTCTTAGCATTTTCCTGTAAAATATCCAGTATTTTTACGCTCTGTGTTAATTCAGAACACGCAACTATCTGTGCCCGTAAAGTGGTTTGCACTTGGGTTGCTAGACCTCCAGTAAAGCAGGTGGCAGTATACAGACAGTAGATTAGGCTACTATCGAAGAAGACCGTTGCAGCGGTGGGTGGGAGGAAGAGGGAAAAGGTTGCGGGAAATCTGAACTTCAAGGAGAGTAGAGTACATGAGTAGAGCCCCTTTTCCACCAAAGCATTTTGAGAGCCGGTTCGGAGCCGGTGCCTGTGCGCGAACCAGTTCCTTGTGTTTCGACAGCCAAAGAACCGGTTCTCGGACGGGAGAACTTGTTCCAAAGCGGCACCAACTCTTTGCTTGACTAGAACCGTTCTTTTACCACGTCATGCTTACGTCGGGGGCTGGGGCGGGTTCAGATGTGTTCTAAACATCTTTTCTGACCATAATAAAGGATCGCAAATCCAGGAGAGACATTTGCAGAAACATGAAGGAGTCCGCCTTTGTAATTGTTATGCTTGAAGTTGTCGCAAGCGTTTCTATTTTTGTAATTTTTTTTATTGAAGTCATTATAAGCAAAGAAGAAAACAGTCACAATATAGAACAAATAAATGGTACACAACTTATCAGAAAAGATTACATATCAAACGAAAAGATTAAAAGACTTGCATATTTCAATTGTTTTTACAGCCTTCTTGGTACACGAGTTAGAGATAATCCCAAAGTAATGTTGTACTTGCAAGCGTTTCTAGAAAAAAACATATGGCGGCGTACACAGTGACGTAACGACGTCGTTCCCTGGGCGCTCTAGTCAGTGGAAAAACAAACAG